GTGCATTCTCTACGTCATCAGCCTGGGGAGCAGTGAGGCTGGGCAACCGGCCAAACTGCCTCTTCGGGGCCATATGGACCGATCTTCTCACCCCGACCATTTCCGTCTTTTTGTGGCGCCTCCTATTACGGCGCATTTTGAGATCGATACTTTCACCCATCTTTTCCTTGAGAGTGAGACTATGAGGAGAGTGTGGGAGCACTATGCCAGATATACTCATATACCCCTACCCACTACAGACAGTTTTTTTGAGCTTCTGAGTTTTTTCTCACACCGCACACACAATAGACACGTGGGCTTCCTTATTCCTTGTTTGATCCTTTTGGCCACCTGGACAGAAAGGAATAATGCGAAGCATAGGGATATTATATTTTCTTGTGCTCACATTATTTTGTAGGTTGACAGACACCTCTCTCTCCTTACCGCCCTGGATAGACTCACAACGAAAGACTGGATAGAGTGTACACCGCCCCATCGTTTGAGGCCACCACCTCCTTTACCTGTCCAGCATCCACGACCCATGATCGTTGTTTGGCTGAAACCCAATGCCCCTTGGGTTAAGCTAAACACTGATGGCACTTTCAACAGATATACCGGAGTTGCTGGAGGAGGGGGCCTGATTAGGGATCATGGTGGGGCACTCATATCTGCCTTCCATGGGCCACTCCGGGCCTCCTCGAGTTATGATGCAGAGATTCAGGCGCTCCAGATTGGTCTCGAGATTGCCGCCTCGATCTCCTCTCATGTATGGATAGAGATGGATGCTGCGGCTGTCATCACACTTTTGACATCTGGCCGCTAGGGCTCATGGCAGATCCAGCATCCTCTTATGCATATCAGAGACACCCTTCTCTCGATCCATTACTAGGTCTCACACATATTCCGGGAAGGGAATTGGCCTGCTGATTTCCTTGCTAGCACGGGGACATCTATACCCCAGAGACGTACCCTTCTTCCTGAGGACATTCCCCTCCGGCTTCGGACGCTCATTCGGATGGACCAGTTAGAGTACCCATCCTTCAGATTCGGTCGACCGCCACCACCTGCCCCTGACTAGATTTGACATTTTGGACTCCATGCCAGGTCACTCTGACCATGACGACCTTTTATGGAGATTTTATTTTAGATCCACAACGGATATTTTTGTGATCCTTGTATTTTTATTTTTTATTTTTTCTGCTTTTGATGTTGCTCTATGTATTTCTGACTTGGATGTAGATCATTGACTTTTTAGCCCTAGTTGGGTCATTATATTCACAGGTCGGGGGTGTAGCCTCAACCCCCCATCCCAATCTGGGATGTTTATATATATAAAAAAAAGGATGCCCCATAAATCTAGAGGTCTTCTTTACCTTCACATTCATTTGCAATTCCCTCTACTACGCTACCATTCTGTGTACCGTATCCAGTCTTGGCACCTGAGAGCTCGCTATAGTACGTACAGATGACACTTTGTACACCCTCCTCCTGTAAGTGGTCTCTGGTAGGTCGG